CAGCTTTTCTGTAAGAAACAACCTGCTTCTTTGTCAGGACTGTTTTTTTCCCCCCCTAAAATCCTTCATTTGATTTGCTTTGCAAAGTTAGGTTGGAGTGAAACATTCTGTTCTCTTTGTATACCAACCTTTGATTTTGCATTTCACAATGTTTGATTACAAGATAATATAAGACAATGTTCAATTTTTATAATTAAGAATTACAATAATGAATGAGGTAACTAGGATTTACACAAGCTTCAGTCTGGATCCAGAACACCTGAGAAGAGATGATGCCAACCCCTCAGAGGACCTCAGATGATGCCAACCCTGAAACAACACACAGAACTACCACATTTTGCTATAAGTTTGATTGCATCATATAATAATTGTTGTTAATAGTGTTCATCGTCTGTTTTTACGTCTATTACGTCTATTACGTCTTTAATTGATTTTTCCGTACATTTCTGCCATATGTACATTAACTGACAGTCACCACTGATAAGCTACCACTAAATATTGTAGAAACTTAATTTGCTGTAAAGTTGCTTTGCAACGATTTGTATCGTGAAAAGCGCTATGCAAATAAACTTGAATTGAATTGAATTGAATGAGTAATAATTAAGTAAGCAGTGTGCAGTGACAGAGCTTCACAGTTGTTGTTACTCACAGTCATGGCATGGAGCCAAGCAGGCAATCTAGTGCTTTCCCTAAGCAGCTTAGGGTGGCATGATTGCAGAACAAATGTGGATGTAGCTGGAAACGTGCCCCATTCAGTCTACACCTATTTTATTTAGAGACTAACTAATATTATTACTGATACCAATTATTTTTGTTCAGGTTGAATATGCAATATTTTTCAATCTTTAAAAAAAAAAAAAGAAGAAGAAGAAGAAGAAGAAAAAGTGTGACCCTGTCTGTGAAATCCAGGCTAAAGTCTCAAAATCTAATTATGAGATAACAAGCATCAAAGTTTGATTTCAACCATTAATTTCACTATGATTTCAATCTTTGACATGGCCTTACTCAGTCAGTATTAAAGATATCAAGGTTACATTTTCATAGAATGTTCTTTACATTATGATTTTATGTAAAACAGTAAATCACACAAAAAAAAGACTAGCTGGGTTTTCACAGGCAGAGTCACAAAAAAATATATTTAAAAAATATATAAAATCTAATTATTATTGTTGTCATTAATGCCATCATATTAATGCAAAGTATTGAGCCCCACGTCAGGTTATGAATACACATGATTAATTGTTGAATTATGAGCAATGTGAAACGTGAAACAAGATAACCTAGATTCCTTTATAACCCTGAGTTTAGAATGATCCAGGGTTAACTATTTAAAGTGTGAAAAGCCCTTTTGTAGTTCGTCTAACTGTTCATTTTAAAATATGCGTTTCTCACTTGAGAATTAATGTTTTGTAAAAAGTTGCGTAATTTATGCAAACAATGCATTAAATAAGTTAAATTGCCTATGAATGCAGTCGTGTAATAATTGTTGGATGCTATTTCTTTGCAGACTTGATATTGTAGGACTGTTTATAAAAAAGGAAATATACACGCATTGAAGGTGTGATTTGTAAGCTTACATATTCAAGAAAGTATGTATTCTCAATAAAACAGCTAAAAATGATTTATTCTGATACCTAAAATCACCATTGGTCATCTGGTCCAGGCAAGATTTCAAAAGGTCCAGCAGTGGGTATTGATTTGGGCACCACCTACTCCTGTGTGGAATCTTCCAGCATGGAAAGGTGGATGGAGATCATCGCCAATGACCAGGGGAACAGAACAACCCCCAGCTATGTCGCTTTCACAGACACCGAAAGACTGATCTGAAAACCCAAGAACCAAGTAGCCATGAACCCCAACAACACAGTGTTCGGTAAAGCAGCTCATAATTTGCCAGAACATGATGCATTTTAGTTGAGAAAATGAATGAAAGATTGACATTGACACTTGTTGATGCTACTGTTCTCCATTAGATGGCAGTGCAGTTAATATGATTATAAAACTAAAAGTGAAGACATACTGTACATACTGTAAAGTCTTTGTTAGCAGCAACCAACAGCAGTTTTTAAAGCAATGCTTCTGTTTGTTGTCATTGTTGTCATCTTATTGGTTCAACAGATGCCAAGCGCCTGATTGGTCGACACTTTGATGACCCAGTGGTTCAGTCTGACATGAAGCACTGGCCCTTTATGGTACTCAATGATGGTAGTAAGCCCAAATTGGAAGTGGAGTACAAAGGAGAATTAAAGACCTTCTACCCTGAAGAGGTGTCCTCTATGGTCTTCACTAAGATGAAGGAGATCTCTGAGGCTTACCTGCGCAAGGTGAATAAAACTATGCAAAAGCACTGTAAATGAGCACTTTTAAATCTTTTACATTTATTTTTAGGACCCTTCCAGGCACATTTGTTTCACATATAATGTGCATTCAAGCATACCGGAAATAGATGACTAAGCTAAAGAGAGCATATCTTCATTGAGATCGCATCATTATTAACTTTGTGAGAAAATGTGTGATGTGTGAGTTCTGAATCAAAGATTTGTGACTTCTGGCTAGGAGGATGTGGAAGAAATTCAGAAAATACTGGAAAATATTGTGTACTCTGTTTATTAAGTAACATAATTTGTTTTGAAACGATACATATTTTTTTAGACCGCCGTATTTGTTTGTACTACAGCATTTGAAGCCTTTCCCTGAACTTTGCAAAATGCAAACTGAGGAGAGTTGTGCATGATTTATAATGGATATAAAGCTTTTATCACATACTGTAGTAACAAATGTCAAACCAAAACAGAGAAACACACGTACTGTGGTGAACACTAACATTTCCCTTCAGCACAAGTTCCAAGTTCTGCAAACACAGCTTCACACATCTGATCTTAGTGACGCCTGCAGTAAAAGTGGTTTTGAAAAAAATTCACCACAGATTAATATCTGATTCTGCAGCTCACGTTCCATGTTTTCAAAAATCTCTAATATAGCCTGAAGTTTGTTTTGTGCATGTTATGTGCAGAATTATACCTCCACTTTGTATGAGAGATATTTGGAGATAACGCTGGTTACAGGAAGTATGTGAACTTGATTGCAATCATTAGTGTCAGCAAGGCTCTTTTTATTTAACTGTGCTGCTTCCAAACTCTTTGAAATATTTTACAAGAATGTTCCTTAAAGCATGTATTGTTTCTTCACGAGCGAAATTATTATTATTTTTTAATAAAGAACTGTAAGAATTACTGCAAACTCTTTCAATAATAATCACAAAAATCACTTTACTAAAAACCTTGTCTGAACACTTTATACAGTATATGCTAAACAGAATCATGCTAATGAGGATTTGATCTTGTTTTTTCAGGCCGTGTCAAATGCAGTCGTTACAGTGCCTGCTTAATTTAATGACTCTCAGCGCCAAGCCACCAAGGACGCTGGAACCATTGCTGGCCTTAACGTCCTCTGCATTATCAATGAGCCAACAGCGGCTGCCATCGCATATGGATTGGACAAAAAGGTACAGAGATATCCAAACCTATATTTGACCTAGTTCAGTGGTTTTTACATGAATAGTGTAAATATCTGAGTTTAGTAATCATCCTTAACTGGCTTCTAATGATGTTTGGATGAAGTTGCATCTAGTTTTTGCTGTCCAGCGTCTTCAACTGAACTTTCAGCACAGCAAGTTTAAAGAGTTAGTAGGGTTAAACTGCTGCTTTATGGTCACAATTCACTACAGGTTGGTGGTGAGCGCAATGTCCTCATCTTTGATTTGGGTGGTGGCACCTTTGACGTGTCCATTCTGACAATTGAGTATGGTATTTTTGAAGTCAAGGCTACTGCCGGTGACACCCATCTGGGTGGTGAAAACTTCGACAACCGAATGGTCAACCACTTCATTGCAGAGTTCAAGCGCAAGTTCAAGAAAGACATAACTGGCAATAAACGTGCAGTCCGTCGCCTGCGGACAGCATGTGAGCGCGCCAAGCGCACCCTTTCCTCCAGTACACAGGCCAGCATTGAGATCGACTCTCTGTATGAAGGTGCTGACTTCTACACTTCCATCACCAGAGCGCGTTTTGAGGAGCTCAGTGCCGACCTTTTCCATGGTACACTGGAGCCAGTGGAAAAGTCTCTGCAGGATGGCACAGATCCATGACATTGTGCTGGTTGGTGGCTCCACTCGCATTCCCAAGATCCAAAAGCTGCTTCAGGACTTCTTTAACGGCCGGGATCTTAACAAAAGCATCAACCCTGATGAAGCAGTAGCTTATGGTTTAATTTCGTCTCTAGATGGATTAGTAATTACTTTTTGCTTCATGACATACTAATCTTTCCTCAAATTTCACCAGCTGTCCAGGCAGCCATCTTAGCAGGTGATAAATCGGAGAATGTCCAAGACATTTTGCTGCTGGACTTCACTCCTCTCTCTCTGGGCATTGAGACAGCTGGTGGTGTCATGACTGTGTTAATTAAGAGGAACACCACCATTCCCACCAAGAGAACCAAGACTTTCACCACCTATTCGGACAACCAGCCCGGTGTACTGATCCAGGTAAGTTGAAAGTTGTTGTTGTAGACCCTTACGTTCTTGGTCTTCTTACCCTGCTCAAAGGCCAATCTCAGACCAGCATGAATTTCCATTTCCAGGATGGCTTGGTGCAGATCTAACTTGTGGACCATCATAATCTTCTTGTTCACCAGCAAAAAATAATAGTGAATGAATGAAACTGCTTGACCAAGGAAGGCCTGTTGAAGGCTTGTAAGGAAAGCTTATTAAGCCTGGTAGGGGCACCAACAAACCAGCATCCAAAACACAACATATGCTGGTGACCAGCAATGCTAGAGTATCAGGAAAATCATTGAAATCACTGAGATGTTGACATCAGTTCATCCAGAATCCATGGAGGCATGTGTTACCAATTGGAATCTGTTTTAATTAGCCCGTTTTTCTTATCTTTAGGTATACGAGGGGGAGAGAGCCATGACAAAGGACAACAACCTTCTAGGGGATGGCACAGATCCATGACATTGTGCTGGTTGGTGGCTCCACTCGCATTCCCAAGATCCAAAAGCTGCTTCAGGACTTCTTTAACGGCTGGGATCTTAACAAAAGCATCAACCCTGATGAAGCAGTAGCTTATGGTTTAATTTCGTCTCTAGATGGATTAGTAATTACTTTTTGCTTCATGACATACTAATCTTTCCTCAAATTTCACCAGCTGTCCAGGCAGCCATCTTAGCAGGTGATAAATCGGAGAATGTCCAAGACATTTTGCTGCTGGACGTCACTCCTCTCTCTCTGGGCATTGAGACAGCTGGTGGTGTCATGACTGTGTTAATTAAGAGGAACACCACCATTCCCACCAAGAGAACCAAGACTTTCACCACCTATTCGGACAACCAGCCCGGTGTACTGATCCAGGTAAGTTGAAAGTTGTTGTTGTAGACCCTTACGTTCTTGGTCTTCTTACCCTGCTCAAAGGCCAATCTCAGACCAGCATGAATTTCCATTTCCAGGATGGCTTGGTGCAGATCTAACTTGTGGACCATCATAATCTTCTTGTTCACCAGCAAAAAATAATAGTGAATGAATGAAACTGCTTGACCAAGGAAGGCCTGTTGAAGGCTTGTAAGGAAAGCTTATTAAGCCTGGTAGGGGCACCAACAAACCAGCATCCAAAACACAACATATGCTGGTGACCAGCAATGCTAGAGTATCAGGAAAATCATTGAAATCACTGAGATGTTGACATCAGTTCATCCAGAATCCATGGAGGCATGTGTTACCAATTGGAATCTGTTTTAATTAGCCCGTTTTTCTTATCTTTAGGTATACGAGGGGGAGAGAGCCATGACAAAGGACAACAACCTTCTAGGCAAATTTGAGTTGACTGGCATCCCTCCCGCTCCTCGTGGTGTGCCACAAATTGAAGTTACCTTCGACATTGACTCCAATGGCATTCTCAATGTGTCCGCAGTGGACAAAAGCACTGGCAAAGAGAACAAGATCACAATCACCAATGACAAAGGTAAAATAACTTGCCTTGGCTTTGGATAAAGAGTTGGCTTTATACTTATTGACTTATTGATTCTGGAATTCAAAAATGGTCTCTTTTTCACAGTGAGTTTCTCACTAATCTTTTCTTTCAGGTCGTTTGAGCAAGGAAGAAATTGAATGTATGGTACAGGAAGCCGACCAATACCGAGCAGAGGATGAAGTCCAGAAGGAGAAAGTCACTGAGAACACTTTAGAGTCCCTGGCCTTTAACATGATGAGCACTGTGGAGGATGACAAGCTGAAGGACAAGATTAGTGCAGAGGACAAAAAAACTATTATTGACAAATGCAATGAGGTCATAGCCTGGCTGCACAGGAACCAGATAGGTAACAACTATACTCATTATTGATAATTATTCTACAGGGAGGGTTGTTTACACCTATGCTATACAGTTAATTCATTCATTCATTCAGTCAGTGTTTCCTGTATAACCCAATTAAAAATAAAGCATTTTATTTCCTTAATATCTTCATGTCTTTCATGTCTCATCTCGTGCTAGAAGGAATGTAATGGTCTGTTAGAAATTTTCAGAAAATTCCAGAACAGCCTTGATATGCAACATTCTCATTTGTGCAATTGGATGCATTCATGGAGAAAGAAAGGTAGTTAGAAAGAAAAGTTGTTGTTTTTTAGAAAGGTAGGTGATATCCCTTTGTTTTTGTTTGGCTGACCCACCTATTTCAGTCAGTTGCGTGAGGAAAAAAATAATTCAATTTTTTATTGTTTTCCTCATATGACAAATACAAACATTCCTGAGCTCCTCCTAACTATAAGGAAACACCTGTATGAATTGCGGAATATAACAGGTGCTAGAGAGAATATAAAGCAGGAGAGAGACTAATGGGAACAACAGCAACATGAATGCCTGGGGGATTTCCTGGAGGGGCAGGAAGTAGTCCCTCCTCTGGTCCTACCATTGAGTAAGTGGACTAATCTTGACACCAGCACATCTAGGTTCACACATAGACAAAAACCAACGCAAAATTTGATTTACATCAACTTGCTGCATCTCAAACTATGGTAATAGGATGCGGGGTGCGTCAATTTATAGTGCGTCACCCGGCAGGTGAAATTGCCAAAAGATCTATAAGCGTTAAGGATGAGCCAAACCCAAGTCTTGTTGGGGGAGGTGATGCAGGATTTATTCATGGAAATGAGGCACACCCTTGGCCCTGGCAGGTCTCTATCCAGGTAGTGTTATAAGTTTTAATGACACAATCTTTGTTTATACTAGTGGATCCATTTCTCAAAGTATCCTATAGTGGTGGTGGGCCTCATTCTCTGCATCATGATGTACTTGTGAAATTCTTTATATTTGATTCAGACATCCAGAGGTGAGCACTTATGTGGTGGTTCCCTGATCAGCACAAACTGGGTCCTCACTGCTGCCCACTGTTCAGTTCAGTAAGAACCCATCCATCCATCCAGGTATTTTTATACATCTGTTTTTAAGATTTTTATGCTTTTCCCTGTCACTGTCTTTCTAGGTCTGGATATCACTATGTAGTCCTTGGACAGTATGACCGTGGCTCTAATGAACTTGTTCAAGTGAAGAAAATTGCAAAGGTATCATCTTTAATGTGCATTTAAAACAAAGGTTCTAAGCTTTAAATGACACTACTGTTCAAAAGGCTGCATTTATTTGATAAACGTAAAAGCAGTAATATTGTGAAATATTATTAATTTCTTTCTATTTGAATATACTTTTAAAATGTAATTTATTTATGTTATACAAAGCTGAATTTTCAGTATCATTACTCCAGTCTTCAGTGTCACATGATCTTTCAGAAATCATTCAAATATGTTGATTTGCTGCTTAAGAAACATTATTATCACGGTGATTTTTTTTTTTTTTCAGGGTTCTTTCAAAGTTAAATGTATGTCTTTACTATCACTTTTGATCAGTTTAATGCATCCTTGCTGAATAAATGTATTCATTTTTTCATACATAGGTCATCACACATCCTAACTACAACAAACAGACTGAATACAACGATATTACACTACTGAAACTGTCAAGTGCAGTAGAGATGACTTCCCGTATCTCTCCTATATGTTTGCCTAACTCCTTCACCAACGTCCTTCCTGGGACTCGTTGTGTCACCACTGGCTGGGGCGTAACTGAAAATGACCGTAAGTCCATTCTTATCACCTGTGTCAAATATAACAGAATATTTTCAGTTGTGCCTATATCTCCTGGATTTACTAAAAAAAAAAAGCAGCAGTTGGTCCTTGCTCAACCATTCAGATACTTAATGTCTTATATTATTCTTTTGAATTTAGTGAATCCTCGATTCCTGCAGCAAGCCACTCTGCCGATAGTGAGTCAGGCTCAGTGTAGGCAGTTTTGGGGTAGGAACACTATCACAGACGCCATGATCTGTGCTGGAGCCTCTGGAGCCTCGTCTTGCGAGGTATAGAGACAGATGCATGAACATATTTTACACACAAGCTATTAATTTAAAAAAAATTCTAACTAAATTAATTAAAATATGTGAAATAGCAGCTCACTGACAGTACAAAAGGGTCTAAACTCGCAATGTTAATCACTGATGTCTGTGTGTCCACTGCAGGGTGATTCTGGTGGTCCTCTGATGTGTGAGAGTTCAGGTGTTTGGTACCAAGTGGGCATCGTTTCCTGGGGCCACAAATCCTGCAGCACTGACCGTCCAGTCACCTACACTCGTGTCTCTTACTTTAGAAAATGGATCGAAGAAATCATTCGATTCAACTAAAGAACCAGCATGTCTCCGTTTCAAGTTCTCCTGTGTCTGAACATTCAGTCACCAGTCCAGTGATCAAACTGTGTCTTCATAACACTGTTACACTACTGCTTTGAATACTGGAAATACCTCATAACATAATGCCAACTGAATTATTCAAAGCACTTAATAACTTTATATATCAACAATGTATTCATTTTAATTAGCCTAACTATAGATTATGCTAAACTTATGAATGCATGCATACTTATGGCTGAATAAATATTAAATACAAATTTTGGTTCTTCCTGGTATGCCTTGACTTTCTATGACAACAAGCATACTAATTTGGGTTCAGCAGAAAAAATCAAACTAAGTGGCATCTGCAAACAAAGTGTGCTAGACCTTTACCCAATTTGGAATGACTTGGATGTTTTTTTAGTAGATGTATTACATCAGTTCCCTAATCCTGTGCTAGGTTTTACATTTAAATTATATAGTGTGTTAAATGAATTTCTCAGGATCAAATCCAACTAAACCAGAAGAGCTTGTTAAGTCATGTCTGTTCATGCAGTTCTGCACATTGCCCATATTTTTTTTAAAAGCTATTCGTCATAAGTTTGCATTGATTGAGAAAAGACAGTATACACTTGTCTACTTGTCTGTGTTGTCCTTGTAGAGCATGATCATGGTTCCGATACAAAACCTGTGCAGACTATGAGCATTCCTAGGGTGTCAGCATTACAATGATTAACACTTTGTAACTTATAGGCATTGTCCTAGAAACCACAGGGGTTAAACATCTTTTCATATAGTGTCAAGCAACCACAAAACATTCTGTACAATAAAAAAATATATTTAAAAATACTTTTTTTTCTTTCTTAGCGTAAGAAAGAAAGAAGAAAATATCTTAATTTTTTGTGCATTTTCTTTCTTGTATCTTTTGCTGAAAGATTATATGGGGTGGAACAAGAACTTCAGGTTATATATTTACAGGTGAAAGAATAACATCTCTGGTGCCTCATTGCTGCAACTGAATGCATTCAGAAAAAAAAAAAATTTTAAACAAAGGTGGGAAGCCGACCTTTTTTCTCAGTTGACCCATTTGTTCTTGTCAATATTTCAACATACTTTTTGTCACATGACTGTACTAAACAAGATATGAACGTTCCTGAGCTCTGAGATCCTACCAGCTGCATGGAAGCACCTTGATGAATTCCCAGTTTTATCAGATGCTGGGTAGAATATAAAGCATGGGAGAGACCCAATGGGAACAGCAGCTGAACTTTAAGTACTTGTCTCCACCATGCTCTGGATCATCAGCTGTTTTGCTTTGGTGGCCTCCACTCTGGGTGAGTTTTCAGAGTCAGTGTCAACCTGAAGATAATAATTACTCTTAAACATAATTTACAGCATTTATATGTTATTATTTTCATTATTATTATTGCTATTATTATTATGCATACAGCTTTTAGAACCCCGTATTACTAGGAGGTTTACATGAAATATTTTTATATATATTGTATTTTATATATATATATATATATATATAATACACTGCTATATATACTGTATGTATATTTATTTATTTTTTTTTATTATTTTTTTTTAAATCAGAGGACTTTCTGAGGTTCAGAATACATTATTATAATCAAACTAAAAAGTGATCAAGAACTGATTAATAACCCATAATTGCATGTTTTTGCATGTACTTGTATAGGTTGTGGAGTGCCTGCCATTAAGCCAGTAATCAGCGGCTACAACAAAATTGCTAATGGAGAGAATGCAGTGTCTGGTTCCTGGCCCTGGCAGGTCTCTCTCCAGGTAACTTTTACTAGCTTTAAGGGTCTTTATAATTTAATATCTATAAGTTGAGATCCTATCATTTATATTTGATAATGTATGAACCAGCAATCCAATGGCTTCCATTTTTGCGGAGGTGGTCACTGCTGCCCACTGCCGTGTCCAGTAAGAACATCTGACTCTGTTTTCCTTTATAAACATACCCTGCCTGATTCTTTTCCGTGCTCCTATTTTCTACGTTTCCTGTTTATTCCTCCTACCCTATAGGGCTGGATATCACTATGTTATTCTTGGAGAGCATGACCGTGGCTCCAGCGCGGAGTCTGTTCAAGTCAAAAGCATCGCCAAGGTATCAGCTTTAATGATATCAGTCGAGCATCCCTTTACTTTGAGTCACTGTCTGCTGATAACATTGCAGTGGTTCTATGATATCTTTGGCATTACCTCAAGAGCCACAGGGTTTTGCCACAGTTAAAAATGTTGGTTGCTTACTACTCAGAACCAGGCTACATGACGGGATCTTACAAATGCTCGCGTCAAACAGACTCTTTTAACAATTGCGTCATGTCTTACTCTTTTTTTCCAGCATGTAACCAGATTTTTATTGTTTCTGTAAGTGTTTTTAGTATTGCGAGTAATTGATAGATATCACTTAAGTCTATGAAAAACCCTAGTTTTTAGTTTTCTTCTCTCTATTTTGTGTTTGAGTTCACTAATATAACTTTACGTTTTAGGAGTCACTGTCTGCCGACTGCGTTTCTGTTGTTATGTGATGTCTTAACCATAAGCACTGAGACCACAGGACTGTGTAGAAAATGTATGTCACGCTGAAAAGAGGAACAGACCTACATTTAAGTTGTTTTTCTCTAAATCGCTTCCCTTCTGTTGAAACGATTGCACTCAGTTCAGATACAGCAAGATGCGTCATGCAAGGTTTGATGTTTGCAGTGACATTACATAGGAAAGAACCAATGATATTTGACACCACTGCAGTCAGGCCTGGCATGATGCATATAAAAAAGTTTTATATTTGATTGTAGGAGACACTCGTCGGCCACTTTATTGCGTACACCTGTTCAACTGCTCGTTAGCGCAAATATCTAATCAGCCATGGCAGCAACTCCATGCATTTTAGGCATGTAGACATATGCTTCCATTTACCTCGGAAGTCAGAGCTGGGAATGACGTCACACCACACAAATTGTACCATGTTCCAGTAAAGAAGCCAGAAAACCAAGACGGACACATCTATTGTTAGCAATACCAGTCGATTAAAAACACATAAAAAGCTGTATTTTGCATAGATAATGCCATAGTATTATGTCCACACATAGAGGTTGACTAGTACTGTGTGCAACACTGAGTTTACTGAGACACAGATAAACATTAGTGCTAATAAACAATATATTACTACTGTTTCTCTTCTGTTGATGCACTGAGCAGCCATATTGGATTCTGAAAATGGAGTTGTTGAGATTCCTCCGAGACTCCGAGTCGGAACTCCAACTTGGGAGGGCGTTCCAGTTAAAAGTTCCTTCTGGGAACTAGGAATTTCCAACTTCCGAGTAACAAAATGGAATTGTACAAATTGGTGTGTACCAATAGTCAAGATGATCTGCTGAAGGTCAAACCGAGCATCAGAATTGGGAAGAAAGGTGATTTCAGTAACCTTGAACGTGGCATGGTTGTTGGTGCCAGATGGGCTGGTCTGAGTATTCCAGAATCTACTGATCTACTCACAAACAACCATCTCTAGGGTTTACAAGAATGGTTCGAGAAAAAAAAAACTAAATATTTACTGAGTGGCAGTTCTGTGGGCGAAGATGCCTTGTTGATGGTCAGAGGAGAATGGCCAGACTGGTTTGAGCTGATAGTAAGGCAACAGTAACTCAAATAACTACTTGTTACAACCGAAGTATGAAGAAGAGCATCCCTGAATGCATGAACACATCAAACCTTGAAGCCAATGGGCTACAGCAGCAGAAGACCACAGGTACCAATCCTGTCAGCTAAGAACAGGAAACTGAGGCTACAATTCGCACAGCCTCACCAAAATTGGACAAAAGAAGATTGGAAAATGGTTGCCTGGTTTGATAAGTCTCGATTTCTGCTTCAACATTTAGGTAGTACACTCTAAAAATGCTGGGTTAAAAACAACCCAAGTTAAATATGGACAAATCCAGCGATGGGGTTAAATGTTTAACCAACCTGCTGGGCAGTTTTATTCAACTCAACTATTGTTTAAAAAATACTATATGGCCGGCTTACAATGAACCCAAAATAGGTTGGAAAATAAAAATCAGACATATAATTATTAGAGGCGTCAGCAATAATCAAAAGGTGAATATTTATTAATAAGCAATTTAATAAATGTTTATTATTTAATTATTATTTATTAAACATATTAATAAATGTTAATTTCCAACATATTTTGTGTTCATTTTAAGCCAGCCATATAGTAATTTTTAAACAATAGTTGAGTTAAATAAAACTACCCAGCAGGTTGGTTAAACATTTAACCCTATCGCTGGGTTTGTTCAACAACTTGGGTTATTTTTAACCCAGCATTTTTTAGTGTAGGGTCCGAATTTGGAATAAACAACATGAAAGCATGGATCCATTCTGCCTTGTATCAATGGTTCAGGCTGCTGGTGGTGTAATGGTGTGGGAGATATTTATTTGGCACAGTCTATGCAATTTTTCTTAGTAAATCAACCACAATATGCCCACAAAGTGCACATGCAACATCCTCAATCCACCCATGAACTTTTCATATAAGTAGAGGAGATCCTGTTACCAGCTGTTGATTATTTGACCAAGTTGTGAGCATTGACAATACAAACCAAGATACAGAAATGGGTAAGAGTCTCATCTGTGCAATATTCCTATGATTTAATATGGTTGTTGTTGTTTTTTAATATTGCAAAATAAATTGCTGTTGTAGACACAATCAGTAACCTTATTGTAACCTTATATTTAGGTCAGTGTATAAAATCATATAAATGGTTATGGTAAAGACTAACCCTAAATTACTCAATTAGGCACTTAAATGATAACCGTATAGCCAGAGGTCACCTAAGTCCGGACCAGACCTCAGTAAATTTTTCATGTTCAAAAACAAAATTTGTTCTCTGGATGAATAATTTGCTGTTTAAAACTCTTATGAGTGTCTGCATGTGTAATTCGGTTTAGACCGTTTGCAAGAATGTTTAGGGTCCGTGATATGAAAATGATCGCTAGAGACGCTGGCGGAGTGAACGAGGCTTGAGAGAGCTGTAAGTGAGGGCGCGGGCGCCAGATCCAGCTATTATAAGCGTCTTCGGACTTGTCTTTTCCACTTAATTTGACACTTTAGACAGTTAATAAAGTGAGAATGTGCAGTTTAGGGTTAGCTATTAACTTTATCTTATCTTATTTACAAAATATTTACTAATTTCGGTTTATTTTTATTTATTTTTCGGTTTTTATTATTTTTTTCATAGCAATATCTGGCAACACTGCATCGCCGGCAAACTGACAGTAATCAAAAAAGCCCAAGGATAGGTTATCGTTGACAGGATACGACATTTGGTAAGGCAAATGCAAAAAACAACATGATATTATCTGTCAGAGACGTTATCAAAAACAGCAGCATTTAACACTAGTACACAGATCAGTAGAACAAGTAGGTTACAGAATGAAAGGAAATATGCAAACACCAAACATGAAGAAGTATATGCTATTTCATTCAGTATAGTTACATTTTCACAAAGTCATGCAGAAAAACATAAGAGCACTAGACAAAGTTATCATCTATATTGCAATGGTTATTAATGAAAACTATAACAGTAACAAATATTACTGGGACAGTTCCTGCTTTGTTTGTTACTACAGTTAACAGGGAATAAAATGCAAAGAATAAAATTAAACCAAAAAAATGTTAGTTTTCTTGTAAGGGGATTCAGGTAAAGTGGGCCGACCTTTAAGTTTCAGTAATTATACTCAAATTCATTAAATAAATTAACATTCACTGGTTATTTTATAGTTGACATGTATAGTTTACTTTTTTAGAAAACAATGAGACTGCAGTCAGGAAATTCAAGTCAAAGATGGAAGAAAGGAAAGAGAGAATAAAAGGAAGGCAAGGCATGAAGTTAAGCTGTGGAGTGAAGAAAGGATGAGAGGAGCAAAATGTAGATGCAGAATATAAATCTTAAAATATGAACACAATTAAAGTTATTTTAAAGTGTTTATAGAACATAGACAGATAAAGATTTTACATTATCATTTTAAATGTTCCTCTTATTATTTGTTTAGCCTATTTATTCTTGCTTGTTTTATAGTCACATTTTGTATATATTGTAGAGTTCATTTTTATCAATATACTGGTTTCTGAATATCCTGATATTCAGATTTCATCAAATTTAATGCCAACACAACATGTTCTTTTCAGTTGTTTGGAGTAAGACTCATGAATTGAGATGAGGATTTACACATGATTTATTTTACTCATAACCTATAGGTTATATAATTTGGGGTTTGTTAAATATGTTGTTAAAAATCTCTGTCTGATAATATGTGTTAATATATCATTGGTTTTTAATTAAGATGCAGAATATTTTATTTGATAAGGTATGGCCCACTTTACCAGACCAGCTGGCCCACTTTACCTGAAAAGAAATTTGTGCATGATCTCAAAATGTTTATTGGTATAGGCCTATAGCTTGCAAATAACATTTTATATGAACTGTATTCAAATTGAAATATTATAGCTGGACCTTAAAGTTAACAAAAGTAATAAGGAAAAGAAAAGAAAAAAAACATTAAATTATACGTTTTACAAAAAGTGGCCCACTTTACCTGAAATCACCCTATTGTTGCATGAATAATAAACTGATAAAATTATTCACCCCTAACCTATATAGTAAAGTATTAATGAGCTTGTAACACTCCAAAGAGAACGGAAAACTTGAAATCGCATCATATGACCCCTTTAACTAATTTTGATACAATAAATATGGTATAATTTAAAAGTGTTCATCCCTCCAAAACAGAGAAAACATCTTTCACAAACGTCTACATGTCTGTCTCTTTTAAAGTGTTAGTGTATATAATGAGTTGTATTTGTAGGGGTTATTATTGCACCGCAGACCTCACTATAATTTTCAAACCCTGGTTATGGCCATGACTGTGGGGTTATGGATGCTTCATGGATTGCTGGCACAGGGGTGTTTGAGGAGTAAGACATTCTGTCTTAAAGTAGCCATTGTGAGATTCTATAACACCCTGTGGCCTTCTGTACCCTGTTGCATGCATTGCATCACCAGACAATCACACAAGACATGATTTATATAGCTGTTTTTGCCTAGACTGTCTCATTCCATTTCCCTGCTTGTGCTGAGTTAACAGTTTCAATTTCTCTCTCCGTTACTTAGGCCTATTTATAACGAAGCCCCTCACAATAACGATTTGAACCTGGCAAAGTTTGCTTTCGAGGAAAATGATGCCGGATTATTTTTTACACTATTTATTTATTATGTACTTTATATATACAGTTTAGGTTTGGTTGGTGTTCTTCCAAGAATTTAAATCTTGAATGTTTCTGAAATGAGCATAGTTTATGTGGTCATAACAGGCTTCTCTCTATTTAAATTGTATATTCTTTATTCTCCTTTTTAGCCTGTTAATACTCAATTTCAGTTTCCTCTCCACAAACATCAAAACTTTTTTATTTAACAAAATGAATAGTAACTTTGACAGTTAAGCTCCAAAGGGGTCAAAAAACCTGCGGCCCAGCAGTCAATATGACTTTATTATTGACTTCATTAAATTTCATACAATTTGTGTAGGATATTTATTCGCGCAGAAGGCGTGCTCATGCATACGGATTCATTTAAAGTTGTTTCTTACCTCGTTCTGATGTTGATAGATCCAGATTATTCTAAATGTGGCAGCGTGTACTACACAGAAAAACAATTGAATAATATGCGTCCTAGCGTGCTTGCTCTCGCTATCTCTCTCGAGATCTTGCCTGAGAGCATGCGCGATTCTTAAAACCATGAAACAAACAAAAAAAAAACTTTTTAATAGACCTAGACTACGAGCGTTTTACAGACCTCTCATTTGCGTGCATGTCGTCTAATGTCCAGTTTGCATTTTGTCATGTTTCTTTGAAATAAATAGTGCTAAAATAAGTCCACTGGGAGATAGGTGTGGTTGTAAATGCAGAATGATTTTTTTTTGTGCAAATGTATTGTACACACAAATTACATTATTTTAGTCAAATGAAACCCATTCTAAAACCATACATTAAAAGAAAAAAAAAACATGTTTTATTCTTGCGCATGATTCAGCTTTCTAAAAATGCAACCCTAAAACAAGCTAAATGGGAAAAAAAAGAAAAACGTGTCTCAAAACGTTGCTTTTTCTCCCATTCTATATCATTTTCAATGCAAAAATTATGGTACAGTATTTCTAACAGAGAAAATGTGTTGCTAGTCAGATGTGCCACAAAATGTTTAATTTGCATGTTGTTTTGCTCCAGAACCAATTCTCACTGCACTTTTATCTTTTTTTTTTTTATATATATGTATCATGTGCACCGGTTTGAAAAGTGATTATCTGACTAGTGTCACTGTAACCCAGGTGAAAGAGGGCTTTTCAGGCATCCAGATTGTAGCAAATTAGCTCAAAAGGGAAATGTAGGCTATATAAACAATTACAATTAATTAAAATTAAGTATAATTATTTATATCAGCTGCTAGTAGTAACTGTAGCAAAATGAATATTACAATCAACCAATCTGTCCGTCCAGTGAACATTCAGTGTAATTTTATATCAACTCTAAGAAATTATATTTTCGTGGCCACAGAAAATAACTTTCTCACAGTACTACTAATGTATTAGAGCATGTAAACAAGATCAGGAATCATTAAAGGGACACTGATTTACAAGCCGTGACAGAATCAGAAACTCATATAATTTGTGCACACAAGTTTTATTAACTAAACGCCAACACATAACTAGTCTAAACAAACAAACGAACAAACATGCGCTTACACATAAAGGGGAGTTAAAGTGGATAATTGAAACTATTAGAGAAAACAGAGAATGCAACTATGGAAAATGAGTCAGTTAATCACCTGAGTGAAACCATTAGCGCCTTTTTAAATCGGGGGTTTTCAGCTTATACTAAACCTCTGTTTCGTTTAAATGTACAATACTTGCATTGCCTTGGCTGTTGAACGAGCGTCTGGATGCAGTATCAGATGAAAATCTTGATGGTTTGAATGTCTGGTGGTGTTGGAATTGCGATCACGTTCTTCCGGGTTTGAAGGGTGACGAACTCCAAAGATGTTATTCTGACTTGGTGGTGGTTGGGAGAGTTTTCTCCCCGATGGAAAGTGAAGACATGGCTGTAGTCGAGGCCTTCCAGGTGCGCAGTGGAAGACGGGAAGGTGACGAGAGAGAGAGAGCCAAGAGACAAGAGCCAAAAGCCAGGCGGCTCACTGATGTGAGGCCTTTTAAGTTCTATGGAGATCACACCTAAGTTCTATGGGGATCAAAGAGCCAATGGTGTCTCGAACATTTGGGGGGAACGTTTACGACTCTTTGTCTTCGAGTATGTTTTGCACTGGATTGGGTGTTGATGCAAAAGGTATCAGCATATAATATACACTCTCATTTAGATAATGAAAATACAAATTCGTAGATACCAAACATGCTATAGGTGAGGTCATATTAACTACGGATTCTATCATAAGCTTGCATAAAACAGTATTCAGTACAAAAAGACAATATACAAGAACAGTAATAATATACACAATGAACTGGGCATATGCATGATAGAAAGGTCATAGAAAGGTTTGTCTATGAATTAGGGGAGAGTCCATTTTTATGGGCATTGTGTCTTTCCTATGGGGAAATGTAGTGTGAGTTCCTCTGCCCGCATTCCTTTGAGCAATAAAACTAGCGTTATCAGATGATTTGTCTTTGGTTGCCATGGAACCAGAGGCCTGTTCTGACTTTTTGAGGTGTTAGTTGCATTTTGGGGGCAGGGTCCATAGTCCCTCATAGTTGGCTTGTTGGTTGGGTGAGGGATGTTAAGTTCAGAATAAATTAACCATTTTTTTTCATTAAATGCAGTGGAGAATAAGCAGAATGTCAATGTTAGTAAGTAATATCTAAAACAACACCTTTTGTGGTTTGCTTGGCTTTTCTAAACAGCTGTCTGAACCCCATTCTCTGTGTTAATGCGCGAGGAGGTTAAGAAGAAGCTTAAACAGTCTCTGCTGCTGGTGCTGGAAACAGCTTTTGCTGAAGAACATCTGGACTTTCTGGATCACAAAGACGAGAAAAGACACCAGTGCTTCCTTGACCAGCTGCAAAGACAAGAAAACAATAATAAGATCAATCTCTAAGTAGCTAAAGTAGCTTATTGTTTTACAATGATTGATCCGATTTGTGTTGTAAATAGAAGTGTGACAAAGGTCTGTCTTCTAGATAAGTCAATGTCCCAAAAATAAATCTCTGGATATTTCCTGTACAGTGAAGGTTTCTCACTGAATGTCCCGTGTCACAGGATAGTGTCTTTCGATAACATGTCACCTGGCAGGGAACACACTTCTCTCTGCACTCATGATTCATTGGTGGAATTTCAGATTGCAGAAATAGAACTTAAAATTGCACAAATAGATTTCTGCAGAAGCATATTTCTCTTCCTACTCCATCCCACCATTACACTTTAATAAGTAAACGGGAATTTATCATCAATTGTTCACTGTCAATTGAAAAGAGAACATGCAAAGAGATTTCATGGGCTTTTACACAAGAAAACATAGAGAAGAGAGATAGAGAAAATGGGTAAGAGTCTAATTTGTGTATTTTATGCATAATTGGTGCGTGCTGGAAGAATAATATTATTTTATCATTATCTGTAACTGGGTGAAAATGTCAATGTCAATTTATTTCTAGAGCACAGTTTAAAACAACGTAGAGTTGACCAAAGTGCTTTACAATTATACTCTTAGAACAGCATTCAAACAAAACAAAACAAAGCAAAACAATTAAAAACAGATTCAATTAATCTCTACAATACATTAAAAAGCCAGAGAAAACAGATGAGTTTTTAATTTTTGCCTGTCTGACAATGCTTTAGCAGTTCTTATACACATGTTTATATTTCACAGTTTAGGCCCAATCACAGAAAAGGCCCATTAAAAAAAAAAAAAAAAAATGCCAGTTTATTTTCAGAAGTTATTGTTCATATAAAGTTGTGTCCTAACTGCAGCAAATGTCCCAGTGGTAGGTTTTAGCTTTTTTTATTATTTTGTTTTGTTTTATGAAGGTTGCATTCATTTGTTTTTATTTTTATACTTGTTTTACTTATTTATTTGTTTGTTTATTGCTTGATTTTGTTTATGCTTTTTATTGCCCTTTGTACATATATATTACCGTCTCAGACCCAGGCCCTTCACTTCAAAATATAAATATCCACCATAAATAAATGACTTAAAAATAATTTTCCAAACTATGATTATCTACACAAAGTGAAATCTTCATGCAGCATTTAATATGTATGAAAATTAGGTAAATATCACATTTAATCATTTAATATGTATGAAAATTAGGTAAATATCACATTTAATTTTCAAAATGTCATCATGTTTTTATTTTTTCCTAATGCAAAAAGTGTGAAAATATTATTTAAATGTATGTACTTACAATAAATACATTTACAGAATACTATTGCTGAAATTTGGTTAAAATGCACACTTTCAGATGAAAATGACAGGATCCTTCTTTAAAGCTGCAGTCCGTAACTTTTTTGTGTTCAAAATTTACCAAATTTATATAATAAGCGAGTACACCATGAATCAATTTTCCAAATCGTGTTTTTGGCTTGTTCTGAATCACTACGGTACACCTATAATAAGTATTTATATTCGGACTATTTAGACTGGTTCGGGTAGGTACCGCTGCGGAGTAGCCCAGTACCTGTGTGATTCGCCATAGACATAAACAGAGAGAAGTAGGTCCGGCTACAATGTTCTTCCGCAAGACGCAGGCAGTTCTGTTTATTAACCGCTAGGGCGCCAAAAGTTAAGGACTGCAGCTTTAAATAAATTAACAGACCGCCAAAAGTTACGGACTGCAGCTTTAAATAAATAAACAGAAAGAAAGAAAGAAAGAAAGAAAGAAATTAAATATGAAGTGCGAGTGTGAAACTATGCTTCACATAGCATGCTGTGCTGGGGTAGAAAAAATTGTCGCATGTGAAATGTGGCATAAAAAAAAACATTCAGATTCCATAGACCAACACTCATTGTATTTTTCTCTTGTTTTGTGTAGCAGACACTATTTTTGGACCTCAAAATGTGACCAGATTCATTACAGACAATTCTACCGTGCAGACCGAGGGCATGAACGTCTTCAAATTTTGCATTTACTTTGCCATTCCTGCCGTAGGTCTCGTTGGAAATGGGCTCATCATATTTGTGACCGGCTACAAAATGAAGACGACAGTCAACTCCATTTGGTTCCTTAACTTGGCAATTGCAGACTTCATCTTCTCCTTAACTCTCATCATAAGCATGATTTTAGCCTTATGCAAGATGGCTTGGCACTTTGGCGACTTACAGTGCAAGTTTATCCATTTCATGATTTACTTAAACATGTTTGCCAGCATTTTTTTGCTGACGACTATCAGTCTGGACCGATGCCTGTGCACATGGATGGTCGTGTGGACTCAGAATAATCGAACCCTGTTCAAAACCAGAATCATCTGCAAGATTGTGTGGGTTTTATCCATTGGCTGCAGCATCCCCGCTGTCCTCCGTCACTCAACAGCAGAGCCTGATGGAATCTGTAACTATCCAACTTCTATACAATCCTACAAGGCCTTGGTCACATATAGGTTCATAGTGGGCTTCATCATCCCCTTCTTGATCATTGCATCTTCATATATAGCTATCGGAGTGCGAGTCAAAAGCCTCAAAAAGGCGAAGCAGCTCAGGTCATACCGGGTTATTATAGCTGTGGTCCTGGCCTTTTTCATATGCTGGTTTCCTTATCATATCCACGAGTTTTATCACATACGTGCACAGGAGAATCAATGGAGTGAGTCAGATAAAGAGGTTTTATTAAAAACAGAAGCTGTAGTGAACTGCCTGGTTTTTTTAAACAGCTGTCTGAACCCCATTCTCTATGTGTTCATGTGTGATGAGTATAAGAAGAAGCTTAAACAGTCTCTGCTGCTGGTGCTGGAGACGGCTTTCGCCGAGGATCATCTGGACTCAAAGCAAACAAAAGACATTGCTATCGCTACACCTGCCAGCTGCCAGGATGAAAAACCAAGCCATTAAAATTATCTAGACATTTACATCTCCATTTTCCTACCTTGATGGCCGCACTCTTATGACTTATACAAATGAGGTTCAACAGAATAAATAGCCATGAACTGCATTATACAAGGGAAAATTTTGAACCTATGACTCAATTCTTTCTGGGGGAAAAATGTTTAGAAACTCTGGCTAAATCTTGTTGGCCATTTTTAAATGCAACATAATCTCACTTCATACATTTTATGGCATAAAAATATGTAAAAGCATCAAAATATTTTCCTTTTATGCGAATGACATACAGAAATGTTGGGCCCTATTACACTGAAAAAAAACTCTGAAATGTTTAGTTATTTCACAATTAATTTCAAAGAAATATCAAGTCACACATTGAATTAAAAGTGAAATTTTCAAGTAGACAGACTGAAATAGTATTTTCCTGTAAAACATACTCAAGTAATCGTTGTTGTTTTTTCCTAGAGGTACCTGGAAACCTCTTGCTGCAGTCATTCTTTTACTGATAAAAAAACTGCAAAACATGAGTATATATATATATATATGTAAGAGGAAACTAGAAAAGACATTACTAATTTTATTCTAGTTGACTGTGGACTGGAACTCTTTTGTGAGCATTCAAGAATGAGTCAGAGATGTACGAAACTGTGTGTTCTGAACACTGAGTTAGAAAACTGGAAATGTTTAAACAATAGCAAAATAAAAATGAAATTCTTAAAAGCAATGATTTAATGATATTAAACCTCCCTTTTGCCATCAATCACCTCACCTGTCCTCAGGTCTTAGCAGGGCCAGCCCTAACCAATTTGGTGCCCTAGGCAAGATTTTAGCTGGTGCCCCTTGCATCGCAGCCAATTCCACCACCGATCATTCACACAGAAATGGCATAGCTTTATGACATAAAACAAATTACATATGAAATAAATAAGACGGTTGCACAAAAAATAAATAAATAAATAAAGTGGCATTAACTCAGCTAGCTATTTAACTTTATCATCCAAAGGCAGCTACAATACTAACATTTAAATCTTAATTTCTTCATTTCAAGCATTCATAAATTTAGGGATGCACTGATCTAAAAAAAAAATTTCTTGGCAGAATCCAATACTGATTTTTAATGTATTTTATTTAAGCAAAAGACAAGAAAGAATGAAAATATGAGTGCATGAAGAATATGGTTAGTTGCTTTATTAGCCTATATTTTGATCTACATTAGACTGTATGATTTCAAAACCGGAAGCAAAAACAGAATGGTCTGACTTTAGCTTTGTGAAATTAGGCTACATAAAACATACCAAACAGCAGATGGGCTGAATGAAAATGCAAATTCACTCTCTGTCAGCAGGTGGCGCTTAAGGAACAGCAGTGATGCATTGTTTCCTTGATTACCGCTGTAAACACAATGCATTATACTGATGAAAGGAAAATGCCATCTAAACTGTTTCTTAAGACAGTCAGTTCCCCTCAGAGATACATTCATACTTCGTACATTGTGAACAGTGAGCTTGCTCTGCCTGCTAATGTATTTGAA